CTTTCCCTGATACATACTGATGCCGAAGTCGAACCCCAAAACAGATTCTAACACACGTAAAAACTGAGACAAATGTGCAAAAGTATGAATAATATCCATAATGTGTTCATAAAAATATAAACTTTTTCTGACGTCTCACAGAACAGTCTCATACTAACCCCACCACATCATCTCCCAGTCATTTCTCAACACTTTACACATACATTAAAACAAAAATAATCTGATAATTAAGTCATAAATCATTAATAACTGGTCGTAACACATTCCTCAAACACGTTCTCAGACGATAAGAGCGATTTCTGACTCCACAAAGCCACAATTATACATAAAACAACTGATACATGATTGATTTTGACAAAGATAAATAAAAACATGTCTCTGTGTATGTACTCTACTATATATAATGGAATAAAGTTGATATATGTTATATTGATATATTAGTCAAAATTTCATTCAAATCGTCAATTGCACGAAACGCACCTTGTTTTAGCCTCAAAAGCAACACATAGAAGTCTGTCGTTTGGCGTCGATAGATTTTAAATTGTAAAAATATAGATTCTTGAGCATGTGCTGCGCTCACGATTACACACATTGTTGATTTTTATTATAAATCTGGAATATTTTGTTTTGGCTTCGATCTGTAGAGAATGCGTCGGGTTTGACGTCGCAAAGAATGTTAGCTTTAATGGATAAATTCAACTATAAACGGCCATTTTCTCCATTGAGTCCAGTCTTAACCAGATCTGAGAAAATGGGCGGAGTCTGCTGTGCTCCTGCTTGGTTGGAGTGAAGACCTGCAGCCCTTTCTGGAGCTAGTTTGACAGGCCCTGCTATAGAAGACCCAACAGAGCAGCAATTGTTAATCAATACATTCAGAATATTACGATTTTCTTTAGCGTTTAGACAAAATTACATTTATTTTCATGTGTTTCCGTATCGACCCAATTTATAAATTCTCACAATCAGAAAGACAGAAAAGCAGAACACAATTGCCAAGTACCTCAGCGGGAATCAATATTTACTTTTCAATAATTTCATACCAAAACTCATGTATAAAGAAAAGGCTGCACGACCATTAAGCTACACTGCAAAAAGTGATGACATATAACACATGCTTTTCAAGTGCTGTTGGGGTTTTGTCCAAGGGAGACATTTCTAAAAATGTTTGCTTGTCCTAATGGCAAATCTTGTTTTTAGACTGTCAAAATGTGCGCAAATTAAAATATAACTTAATTCAAGCATTTAATACCATATATTTGATCATGTTTTGCAGTGTAAGGTAAGGGTAAGCAGCAACATGGACCAACCTCACCCAGTCCCAAGCCCGACAACGGGAAGCGAAACCAAACCATCTGCTTAGACCCATTTTACTTCCTGCAATTTCACAATAACTTACATTTGTTAACAATTACACAAGACAGAAAACACATGAATAACGTCTGATTGTCAAACTCACTTCTTCTCAAAGCATCCAACCCTCGTCATAACCCCTCAATCGATATTACACCATTCCGTGTTCAAATTGTCCGACATTCCCATGACAAAATACCAAAATGTCATTGTCTATCTGATTAGTGGGACGGCTAATGGGAGCTAGTGCCATTTGCGATTCCCCCGAGGCCCTTAAGTAGCGGCGATAGCGATAAAGTAGGCTACGCTAGGCTAAGTTGTGGCATTTGCAGATTAGTGGCTCCAGGGCCCGCTTGGAAATGTGCTCTCCACGACAAAAATGTGTCACTTCTTCTCTCGCAGTTTGATCCATATTAAGCAGGTTTTGATTTAATTCAATGTGTGCCAAAAGGGAGTTGGAATAACAGAGTGGGATCCTTCGGGATGTGTGTCTTTGGGAACCATAAATAGTCCAAACTGTCTTACTTTGCTCTTCAAACGGTTTTAACATCTTCTGAGGTTTACATGCTTTTAGAAAACGCACCGGCGCAAAAAACACAGTCAGAAAGTCCTTGTCGAAGTGAGATAATGCAGAATAAACCGGGGAAAATTGCAAGATTCTTTCATATTCCGTTGTTAGCATCTAGCTAGCAGTAGCAGTACAACCAAAATGATGTCTTGTACAGCGTTTTTGTCACATTCTTTTTGACATTATGTACCTTTTGTTACGTAACGGTGTGTATAATATTAGTAAATAATACCCAGTTCATGCAATGCCGGACCACGAGCAACCTGCCGCCATTTTGGTTCCAGTTGCCAATGGATTCTGGTTGCTTCTCCACCGACTCCCACTGATGACTGCTGTTGTTGTGTCCTTGGGCAAGACACTTAACCCCACTTTGCCCAAAGCCCCCACTGAAAGATCAAGGCTATGCTCACAGTCAGAGAGCAGCCGTCCTCCTGTGGACTCACCACCTGCAGAGGGTCAGTGCGGGGCTGGTGCTATGAGACTTGGGTGGCATCTCTGACTGCCACCCCCCTGACCCAGAAATGGATTAAAGGGTAGAAAATGGATGGATGGACTCAGTTTTGTGGCTTAAAACGATAAATATCAGTCATTAGCGATTGTCACTCAAAGAAGGGAAAGAAATTGTTTTGATTTGATTTTGTTTTTGACAAGTTTGACGGATAGTTGACAACCTTGCTGTCAAAATATAAGAAGATTCTATGTGCCAGGAGTCTACATAATAATACCTTTTCTTACACACTGTTTTCTGAAATGCAAAATTGTCAAACATTTTAGTGTTTTTATGTGTGTATTAGCATGACATGATGTACGGTATAGCCCCGTTTCCACCAGCCCTACAAAGTCCTGCTCTACTCTACTTGGCTCTACTCTTCCTCGATTGGGAGAGTTTCAACTGCTCCTCTTTAAACGGTACCTGGTCCTCCCCCTTTTTAGTCCTTTTTCTTGTCCCCCTTGGGCCTGGTTCTATCCAGGCTGAGCTGGTACAAAAGTGTTCTAACCACAGATACTGATTTGTTGTGGGTAGGTAATAGAGTAGAGTAGGGTAGGGTAAAGTAGAGTAGGGTAGTAGGGTAGGGTAGGGTAGAGTAGGATAGAGTAGAGTAGAGTAGGGTAGAGTAGACTAGAGTAGAGTACAGTAGGGTAGGGTCGAGTAGGGTTGGGCCAAGTGGTTCTGGTGTAAACAGGACTGTGTCGGCCTGAACCATTATGTGCACAGTGAACAATAGTCCATTTAAAGCATATGTTTAAAACGTCAACATAAAAAACCTTTGGAAAATCAACACCGTCCCGTGTCCCCACATCGTAGGAGATAACAGCCTGTGTCCCCACATCGTAGGAGATAACAGCCCGTGTCCCCACATCGTAGGAGATAAGAGCCCGTGTCCCCACATCGTAGGAAATAACAGCCTGTGTCCCCACATCGTAGGAGATAACAGCCTGTGTCCCCACATCGTAGGAGATAACAGCCCGTGTCCCCACATTGTAGGAGATAACAGCCCGTGTCCCCACATTGTAGCAGATAACAGCCTGTGTCCCCACATCGTAGGAGATAACAGCCTGTGTCCCCACATTGTAGGAGATAACAGCCCGTGTCCCCACATCGTAGGAGATAAGAGCCCGTGTCCCCACATCGTAGGAGATAACAGCCCGTGTCCCCACATCGTAGGAGATCAGAGTCAGAGTCACACACGCCGCCTCCTCTCCCCATTGTCACAGAAGTGTTTTATATTCACAAAGTCAGCGCAGGTCTCACTCAATAACAGAGCTACAAGTACAAGTGTGAAGGGCAAAGAAGGGACAACAATAATAACACAAGTGCTCGTCGTCCTCCCTCACCTCCTCCTCTCATTTTAATGTAAAATAGTTCTCTACCAACAGCTGCTGCCGTCTGATGGAGACAGACGTGTGCCAAATCCTGATCCGAGCTGTAAAAACAATGTGGAAGGAACGCCGTGAAATCCCACTGATTTTGTTGGACGGAGAAATACAGAGAATGTGAAAAGCCCAAAGCGAGGATGGTTTCTATGATTGTTGTTGTAATCAAAATATACTTCAAAACTAGTCAGTGTTGAATTTAAACGTGGGATTATGTCAATTTGTCGGTGTCAATATTTGGGATTTGCTTCTATAACAAGTCAATTTGATCCAGCGGTTGAGACCAAAGTTTTATGGGAGTCCAACCAGTATTTTTTGCATGTTTTTTACCGTCTAAAATATTCTGTATAGTGTGTGGCTGTGTGTATGGTTAGCATTATAGAGGTCCCCAACATGGACTTTCAGCTGGAGGCTCCACTTTACAAATGCATATAAATGTATGTTTTGCCTGGAATTTCTCTCAGTATGGCTTTAAACTTGTCCATCTACAACGGAGACAAGCAAGTGGACACCAGGGATAGTTACAAGTCATATCTGCAAAGAGGCAAGCCAAGACATGGTATACATTCAGTTTTTTTGACCAGTAAAACGGTCTTGTCTGGTTTAGAAGAACCAAAAAACTATTGCGACGACAAGATGGGCCTTCCTAAACTAGTAAAACCTCTGTCATAAAGTATTGTAACCCAAACTGAAGTCATTTCCAAGCAAAACAATTACATCTGGGAAGTAAGCAGGCAGCAGACCTGATCCGAAAAGTTTAGAAGCTTGCCTTTAAACAAAAGTTCTACTGGTACTAAGGAATTTTGTCAATATCATGCCAAGCTTTAGATGAGTTAGGATTGGATCTGAAAGTGCGTTGGTGAAAGTTTTTGGTGAATGTTGCCACTTATAAATGAGAAAAAATACAAATACATAACATTTACCTCAAAGAAATAAACTTAGGTTGAAGTTAAGGTATGATTTTTGACATCTAACCCTTATTCATGAACAAAGTAGTTCCCAACTCTGCCACATAACGGAAAAAGTACTTGTGTTGTATTTTTGGCATCAATCTATCTCCATACAGTCGCCTGAGCCACAGAATCACTCAAATACATCCAAGACAGTTATGCTACCTTCAAATGTTAAGGTCAGTGCAAATAAACCACTTTACAGACTGAAAGATACAGTAAACGATAGCCTCGGAGCTGACCAGCAGCCGTCACAGTCACCTCAAGTACCCCAACCTCCTCATGACCTCCCCACATACATCCTCCACCATCCTGATGTCTTTCCTCGGCATCTTCATCTTCCAGGCGTTAATGTTCGCCGGCGAAATGTCCCCTTCGTACATCAGGTTGTAGAGGTTTGTGGACGTCGTGAACAGGAGTTGATTGAGGGCAGCGGGCGACAAAGGCACCCCCAGGTAAGAGTGAATCGTCTCGGCAGTTTCCTGGGGGTGGTTGACCAAGTCTTCAAACCTCACGTGGAGATATGAGTCTGGCGGGATGCTTTGGCTAACCCTCAGGGCCGCCGCGGTGTGAGCTAGCCACAGGTGCGCCAGGATTAAGACCGGGTTTGTCTCGGAGAGCGTCAATAGTTTGCGGATTGTTTTAAACTCCGGTGCGACGGCCGGGCAGCCCTCCCTGACAGAATCCTCCTTGAATATCAAAGACAGATGCTGGGGGATGTTCTTGAGTGAGTAAAGGCTGGGCTTGCTGTTGTAGAGCATAATATAAATCCACGCTCGAGGGTCACGGACTAAGTATATTGTCCGCAGAGATGGTCCCACTACTTCTTGGATGAAAGGGAGTTTGAGAGGCCAACTCCCGCTGCGCAAAAAGAGAGCCACGCGAGCACTAGGGTACTCCACAACATGGCGTCGCAAATCTCGAATATATTCCACGTCTCTGTCGGAGTTTGCTTTGAGTTTCCCCCTCAATTCTGACGCTACTTCTCTCCTCCTGAAACGCTTCTTTCTATCCCTCACAATATTAACGCTTCTCGCTTTGGGGATTCTGCTCTCTTCTACTAATTGTATATTCTGCAAGTGTAGTCTAATGTCATAGACCAGCGAGTGGAGCCAACCCTGGATGATTTTGAAGCGTCCTTGAATCGCGTCCAGTCTAGACCACTCGCAATCGTCCACCAAAGAGTCAAACTCGAACTCAGTCTCTGGGATGTCCAAGTGCTCCGTCGGAACGCGTACGTAGACAAAATCAGAGTTGTTGTAGAAGAGATGTTTGAGAAGCTCCGCGCCAGCTCCAGGCAAAGCTGTGATCAGGACGTTTGGCAAAGGTAGGCGCTGTTGCTCGTACAGCCTGATCTGCTTGTTGACTTCATTCTGAGGGTCCGTCCCTTTCCATTTGACCCCGCAGAGAAGTTTATCGCAGCTGTTGGACACGAACAGCAACTCCGCGATCCAGAGAAGGAGGACGCAGAGCAGGGCGTAGCGCATGAGCCTGCTGAAGCACACGTAAAACTTTCTCTGCAGGGTCAGAAAAGCCACGGCTACGCACAGCACCACCCCGGCTATGACATTCACGGTAAACACCAAATCAAACAGCTGATTATCGCTGCTTATTTGTTTGGGAATGAGCTGCGTTCCGAGGCCGTATCGCGTCACTTGGTATGAGTCCTCTACTTTGCAATGCCCTCCGAACCCCAGATAACTCAACCTGGCGCCTATATCTTTGTAGTTAGTGGCTATAGATACAATATTCTCAGTGTTATTGATGACTATTGAGAGTCTTACCCCATTGTGGCTATTGTCAATGAACCTAGAGTTGGATATTTTCACATAAGGGCCGTGCATAATGTAAGCTACCCTCGCCACTGTGTTTGTCATTGAAAAAGTGACATTGACATACTGCGTCCACCGCTTTTTAAACTCGGCTGCCTGCTCCGCCTCCTGTATTCTGGTATCTGGGCTGTGACCCTGTGTGTCAAACCAGAACATTTTATAATGGGCATCCCAGACATCCATCATGGCGCCGTTGTACCTGTCCATGAATTTAAAGGGGACGTACTTAAAGTCAATGTCAAGGTTGTGGAAAAAAGCGCTGAAAGAATTAATGGGGGAGTCTGGGAACTTTTCGACATGATCCACGACTAAAAGTGTCTGAGAGTTTAGCAGCACTAGCGAACGGTAGACGCTTTTGAGTCTCATTGCTGTGGAATAAGCTGAGACAGCTTCCCCGCTTACAAACATAGTGTCTTGGTGTGAAGAAGCAACCACTACTTCTCCCCGAGTGTCTCCCACCCCTTCATCTGTCCAACGCAACCACTTAGCACACTCCCCCATCTGCCCCTCCCATGGACCGTTGCACTGGCTGGTGGGAGATGGCCCAAAAACCAAAATGTTGTTCAAATAGCTATATTTAGGACCGTAAAGTGCTTCGGAGACAAAAACCTGCCCGTTCGGCGCGAAGGTGAACGAATTCTGATCCGGGTGCTCGTGCCCTGGATTGAAACTAGTCCAGTCGTTCACCCAAGAGTAAGGCTTCTCGTGAACTATGTCGTAAACAGCGCGGCCGCCTAGCTTTCCCGACTTAAACGAGACGAAGGTGTTGCCCTGTGAGATCGGCAGGCCCGCTCCGTAGGTCACCACCCCCCAGTTTGAAAACACATGCATCCTGGATTGCCCGTAGCCATGGGGAGGCTGCGGACTGAGGTGCGGGTTGAACCAAATGTACTCGGTGTGAAGAGTCGCCCAGCGCTGAGCCGTGGACGGCCCCATGGGTCCGTCTTTCGGCCTATGCTTTCGTATCTGCTGAGCTAGCCAGTTCCCGGTTCCGTTCTTCAAGACGTAAGTATCGAGAAACACCAGCTGGCTCTCCGGACCGTAGAACCAGTTGTAGTTAGAATCTGCGATGCCGACCGTGCGTTGAAACCCGGGTAAAAGCGTGGCATGGTAGAACCAGAAGTGGGTTTGAAGCCAGTTGTTCTGCGTGTTGTCGATGTTGAAATGACGCTGGGCTAAAAACACGTACTGGGTGACGGACTTAGCCGTGTAGCTGCCGTAGGCCACGCCCTCGTCGAGGGATCCGTCGACGATATGGTTGAGCAGGAACATGGTCTTCTCCATGTAGTTGACGGAGACTTGCTTCCACATCATGGACTCGGGATCATCGTGGGAGCTCACCACGATGGCACCTGGGAACGAGAAGAGGAAGATTGAGTTTTGTTGCCATTTTGAAGTAAAACCACATTGGAATACATTTGCAGAAGAGCCCCAGTGAGAAGCAGACAAAGAGAAACAAAAATAATAAGCTTCACATTTTAGTTTAGTTTAGTGTTCAGCTCCAGCAGACGTACATAAGCTCTGAAATCAACAAACAAAACCAGAAAAGTTGTGGGTTGTAAATATAAACACAGTATATATTAAAATGATGCAAAGTTGTTGTACCTGTGATATCGTCTTATGTGTTTGAACATGAAATAAAATGAAAGAATATCATCATTACAAAGCCGTGTACAAATGTGGGCTTTGTTCTGACGCAGACACAGATCCAGTCTTCCGTAAAATGTGAGACAGGGTCCTACTCAAATCCAGGTTAAACAGTTCTGTTCAGCTGTGAATACCACAGAAGAATAGTCCCTTCACTCTTTTTAACGTACTGTGATTATTTAGGATCGTAATGTCTTGTGTGGTTGTGTCTACACTGCAAAAAGTGAAGAAAAATAAGTCAAAAACAACTCAAATTTGGCAAAATGTATCTTAATTTTAGCCTTACAGATTTATATAAGTATCATCCAGACTATTGGTCCTCCCAACTGTCAATCATTCTGCTGATACGTGCTTGACCAATAAGACCCGAGAGTTTGGTTCAAAAAGTGGAGAGGGCGTTTCTTTCCTAAAATTTGGGGAAAATCTCCTTTAAACCTTTAAAACAACACTTGCCAAAGGGACAAAGCAAAATTGTCTTGAAATTAGAGTAAATGTCTTGGTCCCATTGGAGAATCTGGTTTTAACGCAGTCAGAATGTGTCAGATTAAGATGAAAAACCAATAGATTTAAGCATTAATTACCTCATATTTTATAACTTTTTGCTCTGTATCTTCTTTAGGCTCATTGCAAACATGTATTTTACTGTATTTTTATTTAAGCATCTGTCTTTCACATCCAGCTTTGTCCATTTGCATTTATTAATCCTGAAATCTTGCGTATACAGACCACAGTGATAGCTCCTGTTTATTATTGTAGCTAATGTGGATCTACATAAAAAACAAAACAAATAGACTTTACAGAAGACATCGTTTTCAGTTTTAGTTTGAGCTCTTTTAATGAGACGTGTTGATGAAGCGTTTAGTCTCGACACCTGCGAATGTCAAGGAAACACGGCCGTTATCTTATGTTATTATCTCTTTGTGAAAACAGAAACCTCCATTTTGTGAGAACTTGAAGACGTCGTATTCTTTTGCTACAATCTTCTGACTTTGAGTGTTGTTTTTGGCAGAACATTTGAAAGTATTTGCTCAAGAAGGAGTGAATCTTTCGGGGTTTCTTGTTTTGGCACTAACATGTAACAGGCTTTTAAACAGACTAGGGAAGTGTCAAAGTGCTCCATGAATAACTCACAATATCTCCATCAATAGCTTAAATATTAGATGTTTAAAATCAGCTGTGAATGTATGACGACGGACCACATTCATTCTCTCGTTTTAAAGTCTGTCCAGAGATTAAAAAATACTGAAAAAGCTAAAACATAATTTGTAGATGCGACAGGTTATCAGTTATCATTTCCTGCATGTAACGTCTGGGTCTGGTCCCTGTGTTTGCGATTACAATCAGTTGAATTCCATCCGACCAATCAGAGAGCGCAGGAGGCGGGTGTTGTAGTTAGATGTGGGTGACGTCAAGAGTTTGCGCCGAACGGGCAGGTTGTAGTTTGTAGTAGGCAAAGAGTGAAGGAATCTGGTCTGGTTCTATCGAGAAACTGAAGCCGGAGCAAGAGGAATGTTTAGCAAATGTAATCGCTGCAAAGATTGTGGCTCTACTCCCCACAGGCTCTGTTAGCGGCAAAGGAGATGGCTAAAGCTAGGCTAAATGCTAAATGCTAACGACTCACTCGGGCTCATTACATACGTCACAGTAAACTCAGATCCAATAGTTTCAATCTGCAAAAGGACTTAACCCCTCCCACCTGTAAACGGAGTCAATGGAGCAAATCCAGACCTTAGTACCAAATGAAATGAGTACTATGGTGTGGTGCAACCAGGCGAGGTTGGACTAAACATTTGACATTTCTCCCACTGTGAGAGGAATAAAAGGTTTTCTTATCTTCTAGTTTTACTCAAATAGTTTATTCTACTCATACTTTAGATTTGACCGAAGATGTTCCAACAAAAATCAGTCCAGGACCCAGACTGTGGAACAAGCTGCCCCCCGAGATGCCTGTCCTAAATGATTTTGGCCTTTTTAAAATCAAGGCTCAAAACGTATACATTCAGGCTGGATTTTAACGCTTTTAACACTCATTAGTAGGGGTGGGAACCTAAGGGTACCTCACGATACGATACGATACACAATACAAAGCTCACGATAACGATAATATCACAATAACAATAATATCACGATATGACGATTATTGATATATTGGTTAGAAATATACAATATGCCAATTTATGGCATAAATAAAAGAAAAAAACTCTTTTTTTGTGATTAAAGAATGGAGATGGGTAATGTAGCCATATATTAAGTATTGGTACAATTTCTTTTTTATTGTAAAAAATATATATATATATTCAAATTATTATTTTTTTTTCTAAATCGATATTGATACTTGGCAAATGCATATCGATAATTGAATCGCGGGAGAAAGTATCGCGATATATCAAAACATTGATATATCGTCACACCCCTACTCATTAGCCCATGTTTTTAATGTTTTTTAACTGTTTTATTGTTGAAATGCTACATGTTTTAATGGATATAATGTGATTTTATTGTAAAGCAGTTTGATAAAAACTATAAAAGATAAAATGATTGATTGAACAGAGACACTTGTTGGAAACGGACGAACCTACGACATAAATAATGGAGAGACATGCGTTCGTCCTTGTTTACGTTTTGGTTGCTATGTTACGCAATAGTCTACACTGTAAAACTAGATTTAAACTTCATTCAGAGTATTATTTTTGTGTTATTTTAACTGTTGATCATCAAACAACAAGAAATCCAAAATATATCTCAGGAACACACTGCAAAAAGTGATGAAAACAAGTCACAGATTAATCAAATTTGCCAAAATGTATCTAAATCTGAGCACGTTTTCACCGCATTAAAACAAAAGAATCAGCAATGGGACAAACAATAATAATGTTGTTTTAAAAAATACATAAGAAATGTCTCTCTTGGAATGAGAACATAAGTCAACAGCTTTGTCCCGTTGGAGGATGTTGTTTTAACGCAGTCAGAATGTGTCAGAATAAGATAAAAACTAGTATTTAAGCATTTATTAGCTCATATTATAAGATATTTACACTTATTTGAATGATCGTCTAACTTTATGAGTTCCAACGGTACATTGTCTCCTACTATTGTCAAGTTTTCAGTTTCAAACTATTGTCATTGTCGTGTTTTCCAAAGAAAGTGAAAACAAGGATAATGTTCAAGGTTAGACAGAGATAGAACTGAGACTTATTATTCACTATTAAATAAACTTTAAAACAGCACAGGGACTGGTCTCCTGCTGGGACTCTGAGGAGCACAGGGACTGGTCTCCTGCTGGGACTCTGAGGAGCACAGGGACTGGCCTCCTGCTGGGACTCTGAGGAGCACAGGGACTGGCCTCCTGCTGGGACTCTGAGGAGCACAGGGACTGGCCTCCTGCTGGTCCCAGAGTCAGGACTAAACATGGAGGAGGCAGCGTTTCAGATCCATGCAGCTAAAATCTGTCTTCCTGTAAATGTGAGACTCTCTGACAATGATCAAATCCAGGTTAAAAACAGTTTTGTTTGGCTGCAACAACTGATTAATTTTATTCTAATTTTTTTTCTTTTTCTATTTTGTTGTTGTTTTGTTTTGTTTGTTGTTTGTTTGCCATGACTCGATAATAAAGTATCCATTCCTTCTCAGATCCTGTCAAATCATCTATATATGTTTTAAACCATAGTAATGACATTTCTCTCACAAGAAGCCGGTGAAAGACCTCTAAACACACTTTAAAAACATGAAAGTTTTTGTGTATATTTGCCTGATAGCTGTGAGAATGGCGAGCACGTTGGTGTTACCTGTGACAATGGCGAGCACGTTGGTGTTACCTGTGAGAATGGCGAGCACGTTGGTGTTACCTGTGAGAATGGCGAGCACGTTGGTGTTACCTGTGAGAATGGCGAGCACGTTGGTGGTCTGGTGGTTCTGTAGGTACTGCTTGCCCCAGGCCCGGTGCTTGGACAGCTCGTACAGCTCCTCCGTCTCGCCTCGGATCTTCCTCAGGTACGTCTCTCTCCTCCGCTCGTCCAGGAAAGCGTAAACGAAATCAAAGGCCGTGGCGAACCCCGTCAGCGAATGCGCGGCCGGGACCTCGTCGTTGGGCGCGTTCTTCACCTTCCAATCCGGATACGCCGCCATTCGATCCATGAACTTCACCAAGAACTGCAAAGCCGGGCCGTCTTCTGGACACAGGAGGCAGTAGAGCGCCAACGGGGGGAGGTTGTTGCCGTAGTTCTCGTTCCACTTGCTGCTGAACTCCTCGTGCTTGGCGGGCGGCATGTAGTAAGGAATGTTGGAGAGCATGGTCAGAACCGCCGCGCGAAGGACTTTGAATATTTGACTGTGGGTGGTCCCAGATTTCTGCCTCAAATTGGCGACGTCGGCCTGGCTGAAGTACAGACTCGGGTGGGAGTCGGAGGCTTTCCAATGGCTTTGGGGTTTGGCCGGCAGGAAGTTGTCCACCAAGACGTCGCGGTCCGTGGTGTTGAAGAAGACCCCGGAGAAGGCAGACGCAACCGCAAAGTGGGGCAGCAGAAGAAGAAAGTAGAAAGATCCCACGCTCATGTTTCTGGAGAGAGTAGACATCATTCTTTCAGAAATACAGCGTCGCAGCTCATTGTAATGTCCCTGGCAAAGAGATTAGACTTTGGCAATGGCACGCTGATGTTTGTATCCTTCAGAAAGTCCTTGGAGTTATCTTTATAGACATTTGTGCACATGCGCTGTGGTTGAACGGATTCCATGAAAAAAACAGTGACAGTTATGATGCAACAGAGAGGAGTGAGTCTCTCTGGGAAAGTTGGACGAATGCCCAGTCAATAACTTAAGTGTGAAGCAGCCGGTCTCAAAAGCTTGCTTCCAAACAAATGCAAGGTTGTTACTTTAAACACATCTTGGTACAGTCCATATAAGCAGTCCCAGGCAAAACTCAAGAATTTCCAAGTCCCGAATCGGAGTATTTTCTCTTTTAATGATTGTGTAGGAAGTCCCAGTTCAGGTGAAAGTCCTAACACAGGTTCTAGCCTCTCAGTGTCACAAAAATAGATGGTTCCCACTTGAGGCAGATGTCTTAAAAGTCAATAGAACCAGCGCAATGCAACCGGTAGCAAAGTCCCACATGTGAAAACGCACTGGTCCCATACATGTCTGTGTAGAGATCGCCCATAACTTCACTGCTGCACTCCTCAGCAGGCGTTGGAGAAAGAGACACGCACAAAATCATAATCAAATCCACGCTGCTGCTTTGCTTCCGTTTGCTCTACGTCAAAAAATGAGACGCATTCAACACTGGCTCCTCGTCTCCATCCAAGCGACGTTCTTCTCTTGTCCTCTGTCCACCTTCTCCTCCTTCGCACCTATCGATCCTCTCCGATCCCTCACGCAGACACCCGTCCATCCCCCTCAACCCCAATCCGCGTTGGGTGATCTCCCGCACGGCCACAGCAAGCAGCAGCCACCGCCGTCCGCCGTCTCCTCCGCGGCGAACATCGTCTCAGCTCCGGGTGTTGTTGTTGATATGATGAGGTTACGCGCTAGAACCAGCCGTCACAGTCTCTCCATGTCTCTCTCCTCCGATAGTCTCTCCCTTTTCCTCTGTGCCTGCGCCTGCCTCTCTACCTACCGCGTTGTTACGAGCCCCCCCCCCCCCCCCCCCCCCTCCAAAAAAAAAAAGAAAAAATAGAAAAAGCCAAGAGGGAAAGTTGCTGTCACTGCTTCAAGTCTCCACACGTTCCATGGTCCGTGCGTAAAAGGCGCGCGTGCTCGGAAAAGGCTGTGCGTAATGACAGGTTTTTTTTAGCAGCAGTAGCAGTAGAGGCAGAGATGAGGCAGAGGCAGAGATGGTGGTGGTAGATCCAGTGAGAGGTGCAGCCGACTGCTCGCTCCGCGCTCTGGGAGATTGTTTTTGCTTTTGCAGCGGACTGTGAGGAAGAGGAGGAGGAAAGGAGGAGGAGGAGAAGGCGGTGCTGGTTACGCACTGTAGAGGGAGCCGTGGTTACAGCGCGGAGTCTAAACCAAACCCGTGCGTGAGAGACACTGACATAGTGCGTGAGAGAGATACGGTACGAATGTGTTTAGTGACATAAGACCTGATTTGTCATGTATTCTTTTGTACATTTACAGCCACATGGTCCAATCAGAGGCTGTGTTCTGAGTCACTGTGAGCTCATTTGCATAATGCCATAGTCAGTAAGTAGGTAATTTATTTATATAGACCAGAGTCACACAGCGCTTCACAATTTGTTGTTTTTTGGGCAATTTTGTGTCTAACTCCGCACAGATGGGAGCGAGGTCGCCAGTACAGGAAGCGCATGCCAGACCTATACATGTTTTTAGTGTTAGGGAGGAACCGGAGCACCTGGAGGAAACCTAGTGCAAGAATGTGGCAATGTATTAAATCACCAGACACATAGCAGCCATTGGTCCACAGTGGGCATCCCTCTCTCTATGGACCAACGGCGTCTATGAGTTTGTTATTATTATTATTTTTTCTCAATATATGTGTTTATTTGGATCGGACGTGTATTAATGAACACGTGTAAAACTGTAAAAACACCAGATTGTGGCTAATTTTCCATCTGACGTGTCACAGTCGCACTCTCAGACTCACACTCAATCAACCCTCACCTTCTGTACATGTTTCCTGTGGTGGGAGAACCCGGAGCACCCAGAGTAAACCATCACAGACACAGGGAGAACATGCAAACTCCTCGCTGAAAGGCCTGGGGCAGGGAAGCATGAACGCTAACCACTGCCCCACTGTGTCGCCCATTCTCTGATCTGTCGCTGAAGAATTGACAGCTTTGCCACGAGACGAGAGCTGTTTGTGATTCAGGGATTTTCACAAATACTTTGAATTGAACTTTTTAAGAATTTGAGTTTTGTAATCCGTTAAAAACATCTGCAATAGAACATGTTATCGGTCCAACGCCTGTGTTCTATAATTAAATACATTTCTAACTTCTCTCTTCTGTAACTGCATTTTAAAGCGGTGGCTGTTTCTCTCGGGTTCGTACAGAGCAGATAATGAGGAGTGATGCCGTGATTAGGTCAAAGTCATTACAGCTCCATGTGTGGCCGACGCTGACACACAACTAAATACTTCATGATTTAAGACCCAGATATTGTTCACGGATTATTGTTCAAGATTAACTCGAGAAACTCCCAGAGCAGTCGATTTGACGGCTTTTCGTTTATTGATATTATTGAAAGTAAAAACGGGTTCTATCATTTTTTAAATTGATACTGTTTTAGAAGGTTAACTGAAATGCAAGTAGTTTTTTTTTTGTTAAATATGAAAAATAAGTGTTAAATATTGTTTAAAAAATCTCTTCTTGAAGTCTGTGCAGTTGTGGTTGATGCCAAACCTGGAAAATGAGTCTAATTAAAAATGTTAATTTGTAAAAAAACAAAAACAAATATATATATATATATATATATAAGTATTTTTCTATTTTTTTTGGCCCCAACCAGTTCTTTAACGGGGCCGACAGTGGCTCAGTTGTAGAGCATTGGCCTTTGAGCCTGGAGGTCGTGGGTTCGAGTCCACCACGAGACCTACCTCACGACTCCCTCTGATGTCTGCTGTCGTTGTGTCCTTGGGCAAAGTGCTTATTTTGTTCAGCACTTTGAATTGCCTTGTGTATGAATTGTGCTATATAAATAAACTTGCCTTGCCTTGCCAAGACACTCAACCCCACTTTGCCTGAAGCCCCCGCTGTAAAAATCAAGGCTCGGACTCAACCTGCAGGAGGATCAGTGAGGGGCTCAGGCTGCCACCCCCAACCCAGAAATGGATTAAGGGGAAGAAAATGGCTGTTTCTTCTGTTTTTAAAATGGCCCCCGACAAAAACATGACACGTCTGCTTTAGTAATATGCACTTGTATGTATCGGCCTGTAGATAAGTCATTATCACAGTATAGATCCACAACATGTATGGACTTTTATGGACATTGGTCTCTGTTCCTTATTAACCAATGTTTTTTATCATTGCACTTCCTGTCTTTGATTCTCTTTTCTCCGGCCAAAGCAGCAAAAAAATATTTTTTTTTATTGCTTTTTTTGTGTCCAGGCAAAGATTCAAAGTGGTGTGGAGGTCCTGGTTCTCTCCGGGTCAGATCTCTCTCTCGGAGGTCCTGGTTTTCTCCGGGTCAGATCTCTCTCTCGGAGGCGCTGGTTCTCTCCGGGTCAGATCTCTCTCTCTCGGAGGTCCTGGTTCTCTCCGGGTCAGATCTCTCTCTCGGAGGTCCTGGTTCTCTCCGGGTCAGATCTCTCTCTCGGAGGCGCTGGTTCTCTCCGGGTCAGATCTCTCTCTCGGAGGTCCTGGTTCTCTCCGGGTCAGATCTCTCTCTCTCGGAGGTCCTGGTTTTCTCCGGGTCAGATCTCTCTCTCGGAGGCGCTGGTTCTCTCCGGGTCAGATCTCTCTCTCTCGGAGGTCCTGGTTCTCTCCGGGTCAGATCTCTCTCTCGGAGGTCCTGGTTCTCTCCGGGTCAGATCTCTCTCTCGGAGGCGCTGGTTCTCTCCGGGTCAGATCTCTCTCTCGGAGGTCCTGGTTCTCTCCGGGTCAGATCTCTCTCTCTCGGAGGTCCTGGTTCTCTCCGGGTCAGATCTCTCTCTCTCGGAGGCGCTGGTTCTCTCCGGCTCAGATCTCTCTCTCGGAGGTCCTGGTTCTCTCCGGCTCAGATCTCTCTCTCGGAGGTCCTGGTTCTCTCCGGCTCAGATTTCTCTCTCGGAGGTCCTGGTTCTCTCCGGGTCAGATCTCTCTCTCGGAGGCGCTGGTTGTCTCCGGGTCAGATTTCTCTCTTGAAGGCGCTGGTTCTCTCCGGGTCAGATCTCTCTCTTGAAGGCGCTGGTTCTCTCCGGGTCAGATCTCTCTCTCGGAGGCGCTGGTTCTCTCTGGCTCAGATCTCTCTCTCGGAGGTCCTGGTTCTCTCCGGCTCAGATCTCTCTCTCTCGGAGGTCCTGGTTCTCTCCGGGTCAGATCTCTCTCTCGGAGGCGCTGGTTCTCTCCGGGTCAGATCTCTCTCTCGGAGGCGCTGGTTCTCTCCGGGTCAGATCTCTCTCTCGGAGGTCCTGGTTCTCTCCGGGTCAGATCTCTCTCTCTCTCTCGGAGGCGCTGGTTCTCTCCGGGTCAGATCTCTCTCTCTCTCGGAGGTCCTGGTTCTCTCCGGGTCAGATCTCTCTCTCGGAGGTCCTGGTTCTCTCCGGCTCAGATCTCTCTCTCGGAGGTCCTGGTTCTCTCCGGGTCAGATCTCTCTCTCGGAGGTCCTGGTTCTCTCCGGGTCAGATTTCTCTCTCGGAGGTCCTGGTTCTCGCCCGGTCACATTTAAACCACAGATATACGTCGGCTGAGGCCCTGGCCAGTGCTGGTCCTCAGTGGGCCGGCCTGGTATCGATTGGAACCTTTTAACCTTAAGCTTTTGTAGTGTATCCCTGGAGGAGGGTTAGTGCTTTCTCTATTTATAAGTGGTGTCAAGTGGCAAACAGGCATAATAATAATAATGTGTCGTGTTGAGAGGAAGAAACAGATAACTCCAGCTCTGGTTTAAATACATGCTGTTTTTTTTCTTCTTCATGGTGCCAAAAAAGCCTGATTCCAGCTCTGTTCTCACCTGGTCTTTTATTATTTTGATGCAATTTACTTTTGAATGCGCTGGAATCTAAAATAGTTGTTGTTTTGAGTTTTACCATTTTTATTTTTCTTGCTTTTTTCTGCCTGAGATGTTGCTGCAGTTCAGTGTTCATGGTTTTACACTGGTCCAGACCAGAGCAGAGAGGATTCATGGTTTTACACTGGTCCAGACCAGAGCAGAGAGGATTCATGGTTTTACACTGGTCCAGACCAGAGCAGAGAGGATTCATGGTTTTACACTGGTCCAGACCAGAGCAGAGAGGATTCATGGTTTTACACTGGTCCAGACCAGAGCAGAGAGGATTCATGGTTTTACACTGGTCCAGACCAGAGCAGAGAGGATTCATGGTCCGAACCAAGTGGATCAGGAGAAAACCCACTGGAGGAATGCTAACTTTATGAATAATGCTAACGAAGCCTTTAGCATTTAGCAGCATTGTTTGTTGACCAGAGCAGAGAAAATGGCCCAAACCAAGCAAAGACTGTTGTTATTATTACTATTGTTGCTACTTTTAGAATGATCAATTTATTTGTTTGGTTTGTTTGGATGGATGTGTTTTTGCTGCTACTGGACGCCTGCACTTCTCCAACAGTCTCCCGTAGTATATACTGAATCTATCTATATGTGGACAGCGGCTTACGTACAGGTGTGCCTTATGGTCCAGAAAGTACAGCACATTCTTTAAAAAATGAGATTTAATTAAAGTGGCCAACAGTAAATCTACTCTATCTACTGTACAGCTGAGCACTTCCTCTTCGGAGCCTGGTTTCCATCACATGACATCCCCTTTAAATCACATGTATCTCATTGGATGCTTTCTTCCTTCCCTACGGTCCTCATCCTTTGACTCCGTGACTGTATCAAGTTTCTCAATGGATCCTCCTTAAAAATGAATCCCATGATCAAAGCCATCGGTAAATCCTGTCACAACAGTATCTTTCTCTGCTCCACGTCCACTTCTGTCTTTAGTCTCAGCAGCAGGACGTTAGCTTGTCCTGCATTGATCCAGATCGGGTTTCTGTGTGTGTTTTTCTGCCGCCGCCGCTGATGATGCATCTCTCTTTCCATTTGTTATTTTTTCTCGATTCTTTCTTTTGCTGCTTCCCGCCAATTGAAAAGCACTCGCTGCAGGCACACAGTGGGCCTTATCAGCGCCGCCGCGGGAGTCGTGGAGTGCAGTCTGCTCTGAGAGATGGGAATAAGCTTCTATATGGAGAAGGAGGACTCAGACACAGACCGAAGACCAGGACTAGAATCTGCTCTGGGATCTGCCCTGGGATCTGCCCTGGGATCTGCCCTGGGATCTGCCCTGGGATCTGCCCTGGGATCTGCCCTGGGATCTGACCTGGGATCTGCCCTGGGATCTGCTCTGGGATCTGCTCTGGGATCTGCTCTGGGATCTGCCCTGGGATCTGCTCTGGGATCTGCCCTGGGATCTGCTCTGGGATCTGCCCAGGGATCTGCCCTGGGATCTGCTCTGGGATCTGCCCAGGGATCTGACCTGGGATCTGCCCTGGGATCTGCCCTGGGATCTGCTCTGGGATCTGCTCTGGGATCTGCCCTGGGATCTGCCCTGGGATCTGCCCTGGGATCTGCTCTGGGATCTGCCCTGGGATCTGCCCTGGGATCTGCTCTGGGATCTGCCCAGGGATCTGACCTGGGATATGCCCTGGGATCTGCCCTGGGATCTGCTCTGGGATCTGCCCAGGGATCTGACCTGGGATCTGCCCTGGGATCTGCCCTGGGATCTGCTATGGGATCTGCTCTGGGATCTGACCTGGGATCTGCCCTGGGATCTGCTCTGGGATCTGCCCTGGGATCTGCTCTGGGATCTGCTCTGGGATCTGCCCTGGGATCTGCTCTGGGATCTGACCTGGGATCTGCCCTGGGATCTGCTCTGGGATCTGCCCTGGGATCTGCTCTGGGATCTGCTCTGGGATCTGCCCTGGGATCTGCTCTGGGATCTGCCCTGGGATCTGCTCTGGGATCTGCCCTGGGATCTGACCTGGGATCTGCCCTGGGATCTGCCCTGGGATCTGCTCTGGGATCTGCTCTGGGATCTGACCTGGGATCTGCCCTGGGATCTGCTCTGGGATCTGCCCTGGGATCTGCTCTGGGATCTGCCCAGGGATCTGCCCTGGGATCTGCTCTGGGATCTGCCCTGGGATCTGCTCTGGGATCTGCCCAGGGATCTGCCCTGGGATCTGCTCTGGGATCTGCCCTGGGATCTGCTCTGGGATCTGCTCTGGGATCTGCTCTGGGATCTGCCCTGGGATCTGCTCTGGGATCTGCCCTGGGATCTGCTCTGGGATCTGCCCAGGGATCTGCCCTGGGATCTGCTCTGGGATCTGCTCTGGGATCTGCCCTGGGGTTTGATGAAGCAGGATTAGGGGGGTAAATAATTGATAAAAGGTGTGGAAGAATAGGTTGTGTTGGTTGTGATGATATTTCTGAGTCAGTTTATTTGCTGTTGTGAAAAGATGCATGTCCAGATGTCTTGCAGCCAACGATATCTAATTCCAAAGGGAAGAAGCTGCAACATGGCTTTTCCAGGGACTAGAAGAGTCAATGATTATATTAAGAGCTGGATTTAAGAAGTAAGATTCATAAAGAACCTCCGGAACAGGCAGCTCTCTGGTCTCTCTCAGGTCTCTCTCTAGTCTCTCTCTCTGGTCTCTCTCTCAGGTCTCTCTCTGGTCTCTCTCAGGTCTCTCTCTGGTCTCTCTCTCTGGTCTCTCTCTCTAGTCTCTCTCTCTGGTCTCTCTCTCTAGTCTCTCTCTCTGGTCTCTCTCTCTGGTCTCTCTCTCTGGCCTCTCTCTGGTCTCTCTCTGGTCTCACTCTGGTCTCTCTCTGGTCTCTCTCTCTGGTCTCTCTCTGGTCTCTCTCTCTAGTCTCTCTCTCTGGTCTCACTCTGGTCTCTCTCAGGTGTCTCTGTCTCTCTCTGGTCTCTCTCTGGTCTCTCTCTCTGGTCTCTCTTTCTGGTCTCTCTCTCTGGTCTCTCTTTCTGGTCTCTCTCTGGTCTCTCTGGTCTCTCTCTGGTCTTTCTGGTCTCTCTCTGGTCTCTCTGGTCTCTCTCTGATCTCTCTCCGGTCTCTCTCTCTGGTCTTAGAATCTCTGTTTATCTACAGCATAGATTCACGGTGAGAAAGATCCATGTGAGTCAGTATTTGACCCTTTGGGCTGAGAGAGCAGACAGAGAGAGAGCAGGTGGAGGCCAGAACAGGAGCTACACTCTCAACATTCTTTTGTTGCCTGTATACACGCCAAACACACGTTTCTAATTCATCTTTTCATCTTAAAATACATCCAGAAGAATGTGCTCTTACATAAGACACATGGAGACGATAAAACAGGGACCACTGTAGACCAAGGACTGAGGCTGTAGACCAAGGACTGAGGCTGTAGACCCAGGACTGAGGCTGTAGACCCAGGACTGAGGCTGTAGACCCAGGACTGAGGCTGTAGATACCAGGACTGAGGCCGTAGACCCAGGACTGAGGCTGTAGACCCAGGACTGAGGCTGTAGACCCAGGACTGAGGCTGTAGACCCAGGACTGAGGCTGTATAGACCCAGGACTGAGGCTGTAGACCCAGGACTGAGACTGTAGACCCAGGACTGAGGCTGTAGATTCAGGACTGAGGCTGTAGATCCCAGGACTGAGGCTGTAGACCCAGGACTGAGGCTGTAGACCCAGGACTGAGGCTGTATAGACCCAGGACTGAGGCTGTAGACCCAGGACTGAGACTGTAGACCCAGGACTGAGGCCGTAGACCCAGGACTGAGGCTGTAGACCCAGGACTGAGGCTGTAGACCCAGGACTGAGGCTGTTGACCCAGGACTGAGACTGTAGACCCAGGACTGAGGCTGTAGATCCAGGACTGAGGCTGTAGACCCAGGACTGAGGCTGTAGACCCAGGACTGAGGCTGTAGACCCAGGACTGAGGCTGTAGATCCAGGACTGAGGCTGTAGACCCAGGACTGAGGCTGTAGACCCAGTACCGTCTCTCTCTCTCTGATGAACCAAACCAGTAGGTCCTCGTTGTGAATCAGAGCAGAAAGAGACAAAACCAGAACATTTTTGGACCATGTCGTTCTTTTCCGACTCTTTTGAGTAAAATATATTTAATAAATCTCTGATCCATTCATTTATACATTTCCACATCCACAGAAACACAGATTCTTACGTGAAACGACCAAATACTTGTTTATTCATTCACGGCCGGAGGCGATGATACAAAGTTATTATTAATTTGTGATGATCCAGAGTTTATCATGAGGCAGACACCAAAACTCAGGACTCTGCTCGTCTGTGGTTCTTGGATTTTACTTTTTTTTTCCAATGTTATTTGTAACTTTATTTACACGAGAGGAGACAAAGTCCAGTGAGGATCCATAAAACACAGAGGCACCAAAATCTAGAAAAAATTGGGTTTTCCTTAAATGAATAAATATAAAATAATACTACAGTGGGTTAAATCTGTCTCTCTCACTGTCTCTCACTGACTCTCTCTCTGTCTTTCTCTCTCTCTCTGTGTGTCTCTCTCTCTCTCTCTCTCTGTCTTTCTCTCTCTCTCTGTGTGTCTCTCTCTCTCTCTCTCTCTGTCTCTGTCTCTCTGTGTGTGTCTCTCTCTCTGTCTCTCTCTCTCACTGACTCTCTCTGTAGTTTCTCTCTCTCTCTGTGTGTCTCTCTCTGTCTTTATCTCTCTATCTCTGTCTCTCTGTGTGTGTGTCTCTCTCTCTGTCTCTCTCTCTAGTTTCTCTCTCTCTCTGTCTCTCTCTCTGTGTTTCTCTCTCTCTCTCTCTCTCTCTCTCTCTCAGCCTCAGTCCTGGATCTACAGCCTCAGTCCCGGGTCTACAGCCTCAGTCCTGGATCTACAGCCTCAGTCCTGGGTCTACAGCCTCAGTCCCGGGTCTACAGCCTCAGTCCCGGGTCTACAGCCTCAGTCCTGGGTCTACAGCCTCAGTCCTGGGTCTACAGCCTCAGTCCTGGGTCTACAGCCTCAGTCCTGGATCTACAGCCTCAGTCCTGGATCTACAGCCTCAGTCCCGGGTCTACAGCCTCAGTCCTGGATCTACAGCCTCAGTCCTGGATCTACAACCTCAGTCCTGGGTCTACAGCCTCAGTCCTGGGTCTACAGCCTCAGTCCTGGGTCTACAGCCTCAGTCCTGGGTCTACAGCCTCAGTCCTGGGTCTACAGCCTCAGTCCCGGGTCTACAGCCTCAGTCCCGGGTCTACAGCCTCAGTCCTGGGTCTACAGCCTCAGTCCTGGGTCTACAGCCTCAGTCCTGGGTCTACAGCCTCAGTCCTGGGTCTACAGCCTCAGTCCTGGATCTACAGCCTCAGTCCTTGGTCTACAGCCTCAGTCCCGGGTCTACAGCCTCAGTCCTGGATCTACAGCCTCAGTCCTGGATCTACAGCCTCAGTCCTGGGTCTACAGCCTCACTCCCGGGTCTACAGCCTCAGTCCTGGGTCTACAGCCTCAGTCCTGGGTCTACAGCCTCAGTCCTGTTCTCCAGCAGCTTCAGAGCCACTGGGTCCGCTCGCCTCACTCTCTTGGGGGACAGTATTCTCTCCAGGTGCAGAGAATGTTCCGGAGGTTTCTTGTCACTGCTCTCTGCTCCCAGCGTGGCAGAGTTTTAATAAGGCCACTCTCCGCCTGCCCCCAGCGCCTCTCCATATGCACACCACCGCCGCAGGTCTGGTTAACTTCCCAAAGGAGACGGAGACGCCAATTTTCTTCTTCTTCCAAAGCTTCAAAACGCTGCATGCAAACAGCGAGGATGGCACCTGTCAATCAAAGCTGCGGCAGACTGGTGAAGAAGAAGAAGAGAGACTGTGGTTCTGCTTTCTCTGTCTCTGTGTTTGGATTTGGATTCAGTCAAAGAGGAAATAGTATACATACAGACCTGTCTCAGTATACATACAGACCTGTCTCAGTATACACACAGACCTGTCTCAGTATACATACATACCTCTGTCTCAGTATACATACAGACCTGTCTCAGTATACATACAGACCTGTCTCAGTATACACACAGACCTGTCTCAGTATACACACAGACCTGTCTCAGTATACATACATACCTCTGTCTCAGTATACATACAGACCTGTCTCAGTATACATACAGACCTGTCTCAGTATACACACAGACCTGTCTCAGTATACATACAGACCTGTCTCAGTATACATACAGACCTGTCTCAGTATACATACAGACCTGTCTCAGTATACATACATACCTCTGTCTCAGTATACACACAGACCTGTCTCAGTATACACACAGACCTGTCTCAGTATACACACAGACTTGTCTCAGTATACATACAGACCTGTCTCAGTATACACACAGACCTGTCTCAGTATACACACAGACCTGTCTCAGTATACATACAGACCTCTGTCTCAGTATACATACAGACCTGTCTCAGTATACATACATACCTCTGTCTCAGTATACACACAGACTTGTCTCAGTATACATACAGACCTGTCTCAGTATACATACATACCTCTGTCTCAGTATACACACAGACCTGTCTCAGTATACATACATACCTCTGTCTCAGTATACACACAGACTTGTCTCAGTATACATACAGACCTGTCTCAGTATACACACAGACCTGTCTCAGTATACATACAGACCTGTCTCAGTATACACACAGACCTGTCTCAGTATACACACAGACTTGTCTCAGTATACATACAGACCTGTCTCAGTATACACACAGACCTGTCTCAGTATACACACAGACCTGTCTCAGTATACATACAGACCTCTGTCTCAGTATACATACAGACCTGTCTCAGTATACATACATACCTCTGTCTCAGTATACACACAGACTTGTCTCAGTATACATACAGACCTGTCTCAGTATACATACATACCTCTGTCTCAGTATACACACAGACCTGTCTCAGTATACATACATACCTCTGTCTCAGTATACACACAGACTTGTCTCAGTATACATACAGACCTGTCTCAGTATACACACAGACCTGTCTCAGTATACACACAGACCTGTCTCAGTATACACACAGACCTGTCTCAGTATACACACAGACCTGTCTCAGTATACATACAGACCTGTCTCAGTATACACACAGACCTGTCTCAGTATACATACATACCTCTGTCTCAGTATACACACAGACTTGTCTCAGTATACACACAGACCTGTCTCAGTATACACACAGACCTGTCTCAGTATACATACAGACCTGTCTCAGTATACACACAGACCTGTCTCAGTATACATACATACCTCTGTCTCAGTATACACACAGACCTGTCTCAGTATACATACATACCTCTGTCTCAGTATACACACAGACTTGTCTCAGTATACACACAGACCTGTCTCAGTATACATACAGACCTGTCTCAGTATACACACAGACTTGTCTCAGTATACATACAGACCTGTCTCAGTATACATACAGACCTGTCTCAGTATACACACAGACCTGTCTCAGTATACACACAGACCTCTGTCTCAGTATACATACATACAGACCTCAATAATAGATCATAGATAAAAAGACAAACAGATACGTACTTATTTAAGAAACCCCAAAGAACGGTCCAAAAAAATCAATAAAAGACAAAAGACAATTCTCATTCTAAGCCAAAAAAACTTTAAAAAGTTAATTTTCAAACAAGGTTCCAGAGAGTCCACTTTGGGGAGGTCTGTGTCTGTGGAGGGGGAGGAGTCAGTGTCAGACCATAAATACTTGTGATGTCAGTTCTGGGGACAACGACCACATTGAACATACAACTTACACCGCAGCAAAGCTAACCAAACTCGACAATCTCCCCCAAAACGTGTCCTGGTCTCCGGCCGCTCCACAGACCTGGCTCCGGGGCCTCCTCTCCTTTCGCTGTACCCTTTCATCGATTATTCTCCCACTCCAATCCAAACCGGAAGAATCCACCGGCTCCAGCTCTTACCGAGTCTTACGGTCTCCAAGCTCCCTCTAAAGTCCAGGAGCTAAATGTGCCACATTCTGTGAGCAGGACTAAACAGACCGAGTTGGTGGAAATGGAACAGACGGACAATTAATGGAAGCCGAGAGTCCGGAGAGAAACTGGAGAACGTTCACATGAATAAATCATAAGCTTTTCATTCGACAGAAGGCTTTAAGGAGATCACCGGAATGGAACCGTACAGTGTTTTAGAAAGACTTCAAACCCGAGTTTTTCATGTATACTGTGGTCTCTATCCCTCTTTTTCATGTATACTGAGGCCTCTATCCCTAGTTTTGATCATAATGAGGTCTATCCTGAATTTCTCCATTGGGGGATCAGTAAAGTATCTATATATATCCATCTAACCCTAGTTTTTCATGTATACTGAGGTATCTATGTCTCTCTTTTTCATGTATACTGAGGCCTCTATCTCTCGTTTTCATGTATACTGAGGTCTCTATCTCTCTTTTTCATGTAAACTGAGGCCTCTATCTCTCTTTTTCATGTATACTGAGGCCTCTATCTCTCTTTTTCATGTATACTGAGGTCTCTATCTCTCGTTTTCATGTATACTGAGGTCTCTATCTCTCGTTTTCATGTATACTGAGGTCTCTATCTCTCGTTTTCATGTATACTGAGGTCTCTATCTCTCGTTTTCATGTATACTGAGGCCTCTATCTCTCGTTTTCATGTATACTGAGGTCTCTATCTCTCTTTTTCATGTATACTGAGGTCTCTATCTCTCGTTTTCATGTAGACTGAGGTCTCTATCTCTCGTTTTCATGTATACTGAGGCCTCTATCTCTCTTTTTCATGTATACTGAGGTCTCTATCTCTCGTTTTCATGTATACTGAGGTCTCTATCTCTCTTTTTCATGTAAACTGAGGCCTCTATCTCTCGTTTTCATGTATACTGAGGTCTCTATCTCTCTTTTTCATGTATACTGAGGCCTCTATCTCTCGTTTTCATGTATACTGAGGCCTCTATCTGTCGTTTTCATGTATACTGAGGTCTCTATCTCTCTTTTTCATGTATATTGAGGTCTCTATCTCTCGTTTTCATGTATACTGAGGTCTCTATCTCTCGTTTTCATGTATACTGAGGCCTCTATCTCTCGTTTTCATGTAGACTGAGGTCTCTATCTCTCTTTTTCATTTATACTGAGGTCTCTATCTCTTGTTTTCATGTACACTGAGGCCTCTATCTCTCGTTTTCATGTATACTGAGGTCTCTATCTCTCTTTTTCATGTATACTGAGGCCTCTATCTCTCGTTTTTATGTATATTGAGGTCTCTATCTCTCTTTTTCATGTATACTGAGGTCTCTATCTCTCATTTTCATGTATACTGAGGTCTCTATCTCTCGTTTTCATGTATACTGAGGTCTCTATCTCTCGTTTTCATGTATACTGAGGCCTCTATCTCTCGTTTTCATGTATACTGAGGTCTCTATCTCTCTTTTTCATGTATACTGAGGTCTCTATCTCTCGTTTTCATGTATACTGAGGTCTCTATCTCTCGTTTTCATGTATACTGAGGTCTCTATCTCTCTTTTTCATGTATACTGAGGCCTCTATCTCTCGTTTTCATGTATACTGAGGTCTCTATCTCTCTTTTTCATGTATACTGAGGCCTCTATCTCTCGTTTTCATGTATACTGAGGTCTCTATCTCTCGTTTTCATGTATACTGAGGTCTCTATCTCTCGTTTTCATGTATACTGAGGTCTCTATCTCTCGTTTTCATGTATACTGAGGCCTCTATCTCTCGTTTTCATGTAGACTGAGGTCTCTATCTCTCTTTTTCATTTATACTGAGGTCTCTATCTCTTGTTTTCATGTATACTGAGGCCTCTATCTCTCGTTTTCATGTATACTGAGGTCTCTATCTCTCTTTTTCATGTATACTGAGGCCTCTATCTCTCGTTTTCATGTATACTGAGGTCTCTATCTCTCTTTTTCATGTATACTGAGGTCTCTATCTCTCTTTTTCATGTATACTGAGGTCTCTATCTCTCGTTTTCATGTATACTGAGGCCTCTATCTCTCGTTTTCATGTATACTGAGGTCTCTATCTCTCTTTTTCATGTATACTGAGGTCTCTATCTCTCGTTTTCATGTATACTGAGGCCTCTATCTCTCGTTTTCATGTATGCTGAGGTCTCTATCTCTGTTTTTCATGTATACTGAGGTCTCTATCTCTCGTTTTCATGTATACTGAGGCCTCTATCTCTCGTTTTCATGTAGACTGACGCCTCTATCTCTCGTTTTCATGTATACTGAGGCCTCTATCTCTCGTTTTCATGTATACTGAGGTCTCTATCTCTCTTTTTCATGTATACTGAGGTCTCTTTCTCTCGTTTTCATGTATACTGAGGCCTCTATCTCTCGTTTTCATGTATACTGAGGTCTCTATCTCTCGTTTTCATGTATACTGAGGTCTCTATCTCTCTTTTTCATGTATATTGAGGTCTCTATCTCTCGTTTTCATGTATACTGAGGTCTCTATCTCTCTTTTTCATGTATACTGAGGCCTCTATCTCTCTTTTTCATGTATACTGAGGTCTCCATCTTTCTTTTTCATGTATACTGTGGTCTCTATCCCTAGTTTTGGTCATAATGAGGTCTCTCCTGAATTTCTCCAACGGGGGATCAGTAAAGTATCTACTGATACTTTACTGATCCCGGCACGGTGGCTGAGTGGATAGCACTCTCGCCTCTCAGCAAGAAGGTCCTGGGTTCGAATCCCGGTTGGACCAGGGCCTTTCTGAGTGGAGTTTGCATGTTCTCCCCGTGTCTGCGTAGGTTTCCTCCGGGTGCTCCGGTTTCCCCTACCACTAAAAATATGTACAATAGATCTGGCATGTGCCTCCTGTACTGGCACCCCCACTGCCAAAAAAAAATTCACACAATTGTAAACCGCTTTGAGACTCCAATGTGCAGTGAAAAGGCGGTATATAAATAAAGATTACTTACTACTACTACTACTACTACTTACTATATATATCCATCTAACCCTAGTTTTGATGTATACTTATAGGTATAGGTCTTTATCTCTCGTTTTCATGTATACTGAGGTCTCTATCTCTCTTTTTCATGTATACTGAGGCCTCTATCTCTCTTTGTGGATACATACTGTAGAACTCTTACTCAGTTCTTCTGCCAGAGCGGTGCTGGCCGGGGACTGGTTCTGGCCGGTCTTACACGAGGAGCTCAGAGCCGTAATTAATTCACAAACACACGACAAAAGGCGACAAAAGGACTGTGCTAATTTTCTCTGGCATCGCGGCTCGCCTCCTCCATGACTCACACGTTCACTTTTTGGAACTAAACCACCTCTCTCCCTCTTCCTGCTCCCTCTCTGCTCTCTCTCTCTCATCTGCTCTCTCTCTCTCTCTCCCTCTGCTCTCTCTTGCTCTCTCTCTCCCCTCCCTCTCTGCTCCCTCTCTGCCTCTCTCTCTCTCTCTGCTCCTCTCTCTCACTGCTCTCTCTCTCTCCCCTCTGCTCTCTCCTGCTCTCTCTCTCTCTCTCTGCTCTCTCTCTCTCTCTCCTCTGCTCTCCTCTCTCTGCTCTCTCTCCCTCTGCTCTCTCTCTCTCTGCTCTCTCTCTCTGCTCTCTCTCTCTCTCTCTCTCTCTCTCTGCTCTCCCTCTCTGCTCTCCCTCTCCTCTCTCTCTCTGCTCTCTCTCTCTCTCTCTCTCCTCTCTGCTCTCTCTGCTCTCTCTCTCTCTCTCTCTCTCTCTCTCTCTCTCTCTGCTCTCCCTCTCTGCTCTCTCTCTCTCTCTCTTTCTCTCTCTCTCTCTCTCGCATCTCTTCTCTCTCTCTCTCTGCTCTCTCTCTCTCTCTCTCTCTCTCCCTCTCTGCTCTCCCTTCTCTCTCTCTCTCTCTCTCTTTTACCATCTCTAAAGTGTAATCTTTGTAGCGTTAAAAGACACTCTTAAAGCTGTTGACTCGAGAATCAAACCACCAGAAAAGTGTAGACTTTCCGTGTCAAAAGTACGTGATGAGAAACCAGAGGGAGAGCTGCGGTTCTGATTCAGAGCTGGTTTTTTCTGCTCTTATTCCTTGTCAAAGCTGGGTTTTCCACTATCATCAATCATTCACCGCTTTACTATTGTTTCCAAGAAGCGAGACCTCCGTCAGAACGGAGAGCGAGCAATCAAACGGAACAATGTGTGGGTTTAGCGAGGGTTTTATTCCACGATAAAGGCCCTACGCTTGGTCCAAGGGGTTTCTTTGTTTTTGTCATGATTCCTGCTCCAGTTCTCACAGATGGAAGGGACCAGAGAGAGAGAGACCTGAGAGAGAGAGACCTGAGGGGGACCAGAGAGAGAGACCAGAGAGAGGGACTAGAGAGAGAGAAAGAAGAGAGACCAGAGAGAGACTAGAGAGAGAGACTAGAAAGAGATGAGAGAGACCAGAGAGAGAGACTAGAAAGAGATGAGAGAGACTAGAGAGAGGGACTAGAAAGAGATGAGAGAGACCAGAGAGAGAGACTAGAAAGAGATGAGAGAGACCAGAGAGAGAGACTAGAAAGAGATGAGAGAGACCAGAGAGAGAGACTAGAAAGAGATGAGAGAGACCAGAGAGAGAGACTAGAAAGTGATGAGAGAGACCAGACCAGAGAGAGACTAGAGGGACTACAGAGAGAGACCAGAGAGAGAGAGACTAGAGAGAGAGAAAGAAGAGAGACCAGAGTATGAGACAAGAGAGAGAGAGAGCCTCATGGAGAAAGAGAGGCCAGAGAGAGAGAACAAAGAGAGGCCGGAGAGAGAGAACCTTGAGAAAGAGATACACCAGAGACACAGGAGAGAGACTTCAGAAAGAGAGCAAAAAGAGAAAGACCAGAGACCAACATGTCCACATTTGGCTTTGTAAAAACAAACGGCCACTGAATAAAACATGTTCTCGCTAATTTGCTATTCACCGC